TGGGGGTTGCTCGTCCTGAGGTGGAGCACTTTACATTTTTCAGTGTTGAACTTCATCAGATTCTGATCCATCCAACTTGCTAGCCTCTCTAGGTCTGCCTGTATCTGTATCTTCAAGTGTGACCATGCTTCCCCATAACTTGGTGTCATCCATGAACTTGGTCAATGAGCTCTTCACCCCCACATCCAAATTGTTAATGAAGATCTTGCAAAGTACTGGACCAAGCACTGACCCCTGCAGGACATCACTGCCCACTTCTCACCAGGATGACACAGATCCATTCACAAGGATAAGTTAGTGCAACCCATCTAAGTAAGATATACAGTAGTGCCCATTGATTGCAGTCCTACTCAGCACCTACTCTTTTACAAGTCGTGGCAAGCTACTACATTGTATACTGTGGTGTCTCTAGCGGATGCTGTGAGTACTCCACTGCCCCCTTGGTCGGGGTCCCCCAACTTTCCTGCCATGACTTGTTGTAACCTGAAGAGAGGGAGGGGGTTCACTGGTGTTCCTCTTCCCCTGTTGACCCGAAGACAGGGTACTCACAGGAGTGCTCCGGTGTTCCTTGGGGTTCTGCCTTCCCTACACCCCATCCACTCGCCAGCTACTTGGGTGTTGCTTTCGTTGTTCTGCTGTTCCCTGTAAGCCCCTTCACTAAGGGGTCAAGCGTCAGCTTCGGCACTGGCCAGTTGCCTGGATATTAAGGCATCTGGAGCCTCAGACCCTGATGCCAGAGGGCTGGGTGCCCGTCATCTGGTGTCCTTCTCCCTCCAAGGGAGAAGGATGCTCTGATAAACTTTGAAATTCAGTTGACCTTCCCCCAGCCTGGTGCAGGACGCTGGTCCCCCTGCCTTAGATGTGGGGGCAGAACCTACAATGCTGCCCCTGCCAGCCTCTGGAGCCACTGCCTGCCTGGTGTGCTCCCTGCTGGCTCTCTCTCTCCTCTCCCCTGCCAGCTTCTGGTGGGGTTTTTAAATTTCCTGCGGCAGCAGCGTGAGCTGCCACAATTAGTCGGCCACCACCCCACCCAGGAAGCAAACATTTGAAGACCTGGCAGAGCGCCAGTTCGTGAAGCTCTGGCTCTGGCTCCGGCTTCGGCTCTGGCTCCAGCTCTGGCTCCAGCCCCCCCCCCGCCAGTAAGTTTACCAGGGTATATGGGGCACACTT